GGGAAAAAAAAAAAAAAAAAAAAAAAAAGCTTTACATCGATATATCAATATCCAAGGTGTCTGGGTCCTCCATTCTTTACATATGGATAATATATAATATTCTATTTAACTTCATACAAAAATCACTTAATTAAAAATAGTAATAAGTTAAATTTTGATTAATTTAAATCAAACTAATTAATAACAATCAGAAATAATACATAAATAAAAAATGTTAAAAATGGTCAATTAAAATATTTTAATTTAGCTATAAATAATATCAGGTAATAAGAATAACTCAAAAATACATACTATAAATCAAATAGCCAATAAACTTATATTTTATAGGATTAACACATGTTACAATAAAAAGAAAATTATTTTTGTATTAGTTTTATAAAATTTTAATTATTATATGGAAACACAAATTTTACATAATACAAATTAAATCACATTTTTAAATACTTAATTAATAAATAAAATAAATAATTATGTTAACTTGTATAAATATAAATAAAGTCGAAAAAAATTATATATTAAAAATTTCTTTGTAATGCCATTTACATAATTTACACAAAACACGAATGTATAGAAAAGTAGAAACTATAAATTAGATATTTCTATTAAGCAAACATACCAAGATAAAAATCACTATAAATAATAAGAGTTTATATAAATAATTTCATCTTACAATAGTATATAAAATCTTATAATCAAGTTTAACACTTAAATAGTATTTTTGTAAAAATAAAATAATGATAGTAAATGATATGTGTTAGATGCCAAAAGATCTAGTTTATGGTAAATAAAAATCTAAGCTCTAAAAAATCTTATAAATAAATTTAAAAAAATCACAGTTTATCAAATATTAGTAAAAATATAATATATAAGAACAAATATTGCTTAAATTACTAAATTAAATATACTTATGATGAACTAAAATACAGATTAAACTTAAGTAGATTAAAAAAATTTGATCTATCTAAAAACTGTAATAAAGTATATATATATATTAATATTGCCAAAATTATTTCTACTAAGTCATTTTGAATAGACAAGAATTAAATATTTTACTAGTAAATTAATAATTCTATAAAGTGATCACTGTGGCATCTTATTATTAATTTCTAACGGTGAAAAGCATTAATTTAATTATCATGAATATAAACTTTGGGGTTTGATTTATAGCAATAATTAATAATAAATATTTTTGTCAATAATATATCTGAGAAACTAGTACACAACCAAAATTAAAATATGAGATTTTTATATTGCACAGTAGCTGAAATGTCAACAAAAGAAATTACATAACTGTCAAAATAACAACTTTCAAAATTAAAATTTTTAGTTGACAATATATTATACAAATGCCATTTGTTTTCTGGGTCTTTTTGAACATTTTTTCTGAAATTGCCTTTCAAACAATTTTTTTATCTCTGATACAATGAAGACACTTGAAGTCACTCCCAACAAGAGTAACATATCTTGAAAAAATAAAAATAGACAAATCTTAGTATACATTTATATTTTACTTATTACGATATTTAAATAGCTCACCATTTAATGTAAGTGCTTCAGTTTGAAATACTTTTTGTAGAGGAGGAAAGTAGACTACCAACATTTGACCAACTATAGAAAGTGTAACAGCAATGAGGAACATTTTATTTGAAAAAAATCCAACAGTAAAAATTGATTTTGTCTAAAAATGATTAAACAAATATGTTAACCTTATATTTTTATGCGTCTGGGAAACAATTTAAGTTAATCATATGAAAATTAAATACTTCACTGTGAAATTTACTGGTTGAGTTGGTTTTATTATTTAACTTATTATTTTTCAATAAAATAATTTTTTCTTTTAGAGCCAATTTAATTTTTCTGTAAAATGAAAGCTACTTATTTAAGAGGATCTTTATTATAAAACTATTAGGAGATCATTGTTCTTTAGACCCTAAAAATAGCTGCACTATGTCCTCACCTCCAGTCATACCTTTAAATTGTTAATAAGTTTCAAAGTACTAGTAAAAAAATTAATACCGACCAGTCATTTTCTTAATTAGATTAATTTTAATTTTATTTGCTAGTTAAATATGTATATTGCTATTTGAAAAAATAAAGTTGACACCCCATTAAGTTTTAAGGAATGGGATGGTTCTAAAAAGTCATTATTAGGTGATAAATCAAGAAATATATGTAACTAAAAGAAATCAAATTTTTTTTTTTCAATATTGTGTTTATTTTGTGAGTAATCGAGTGATTTTTAATAAACCAATTGTCCTGTATATGTATATGTAGTATAGAAATATTATTACCTGAGATCGACAACTCAATGCATTAAACATATCAAAAAATACAAAACAAGTGAAAGTCATTGTAGTATCTCTTTTTGAAATAATATTATCACTCATCTAAAACATAAAATTAATATAAAAATTATATTTATTTTTCAAAAAATGTTTAACTCACTTCTCGTTTGAAAATCCATAATGTTCCAACAATTATTATTGAAGCAGATAGAAGAACATTTACAATAAGAGATTTAGTAATCATTGGTGTCTTAACATTACGAGGACCTTGTTTTACAACATCTTTATCAACAGGTTCAACACCAAGACTGTACATTACAATAATTTAAATAAAAATAATATTACATATTATTTAATATTTCTTTATTTTATTTTGATTAAAAGATATATTTTATTTCAGGTTCAAATCAGTATTTAGGATTTCTCAAAAATGTCTATATTTGATATACAAGTGTTAAATAAGTTAATATAACCTCTCCAGATTGAGGATATATAAAATTAATTAAGAATATTTTAGTAAATTTTTTTACTTTAAAAATTATTAAAATCAAATTTTTATTATAATATTAACATTATTGATATTTTTATTAATTAATTAAGTGTCAATATTGGAATATTTTCTGTAAAATAAATATATATTTAAAGTATTAATTTAAAACAAAACTAACATTGAATATTGGAACATTAACTGGTAGAAATAGAAAATTAGTAGAAGTATTGAAGAGGAGAAAAGTTGTGTATAGGCAACTAAGTGGAAGAGAAAGAAATCAAGGGAAAAAGGTGAAGTTATAAAATAATATACTCAGGTAAGACTAATACAAAAAATGATGTAGGGATAATAATGGATGAGAAGATGAAAAGTAAATTAGAAGAAGTAGTTAGGAAAAAGACAGAATTATAGTCCTAAAATTAATTTTTAAGGAAAATGTGTTGAATATAGTAAGTGCCTACGTACCACAAGTAAGATGTGATAAAATAGACAAAGAAGTGTTTTGGAGAGAGATGGATGAGGTAATATAAGGAATACCTGGGAATGAGGATGTGGTAATAGATGAATATATGAATGAACATGTCAGTAATGAAAAGAGGAGATATGAAAAAGTACATGGAGGATATGGTTTTAATGGGAAAAATGAGACAGAAGAAAGAATGTAACTTGCCAAATTATTTTAAGTAAATTAAGATAACACTATTCTTGACTTTATGGTTAATCACCTTTAATAAATTTAAGATGTATAGGCGATTCACAATATTTTAACAAATCCAAGAACTTTTCTTATAAAAATTTGTCAAAATGTAAACTACCCTATTTATATACCCATATAATTGTAGATAAATTTATCTATATTATTATAGATAAATGTCAGTTAAATGCATTTAATTTAATCAATGAGAATTGGTTTTATTTTTGTTTCCCAAGTAAAGATTTTGAAAAGGACTAAAAGTTAACTTTTTTGGCATCAATTTGATATCTATTTGTGAATTATACACAAAAATAATGCGTTGTATAATTTTTCTAAATTTTGAATTGTTCTTTTAGTTAAAACGTAACTTATTAAAGAAATTAAACTAAGCATATTTGAAATAGAGTGAATGATAGTCATTTTATTTACCCAATACAAATAATGATAAACATTTTTTGTAATTGTGTTTGTAATCAAATATTTAAAAAATTTTTTTACCTTTGAGCAGGTGGTCCATCCATAATAATATTAATCCATAATATTTGCATTGCATTTAAAGGGTTTGGTATTCTAAGCATAGTTGCTAATGCAATCAATGATAAAGCAGCTATGCTAGTACTTAGTTGGAATCTAACAAAATTTCGAATATTAAAAAAAATTCCTTTTCCTTCTTCAATAGCCGCAACAATTGTTTGAAAGTCATCATCAACAAGTATCATATCTGATGCTTCTTTACAAACATCTGTTCCATTTTTTCCCATAGCAATTCCAATATCAGCTTTCTTTAATGCTACACTATCATTAACTCCATCTCCTGTCATTCCAACTACATTTCCATTTGATTGCAATGCCTTAATTGGAAAAATATTTTAATATTAAAATTAATTACAAGAATAAATTAACTTTAAAATTACTTTTATTATTGTTAGTTTGTGCCTTGGTGTAACTCGATAAAAAACAGATACACTGTTAACCATTGCTTTAAGCTGATGATCAGACATATTATCAATTTGCTGACCTGATAAAGTCTGGCCATGAATCATGTCTAAACCAATCATACTCCCTATTAAAATAAAAATATATTAAATTTAATACAATCAATTATCAACTTAAGTAAAAATAGTTAAAATTTAATTGTATTATTATGTCTAAAATTATGTAATTTATACGAACTAGAAAGAGAATAGAGTTGGGAATATTGATTATTAAACAAACTGTAGCACAGTAGGGTCGTTGTACAGAATGAACGTGACATAGTGGGACAAGTATAAATGATATCTGACAGTGATTAAAATCACTATCATAAGAAACACTTTAATGCAATTCTGTAGTGTTTAATTTTAAGAAATTGGTGAATTATTCCAAAAGAAGCAAAATTTACTCCTATTTTTTTTTCTACTTCGACTGCCATTTGCACATAGAAAATAGGTCGGTACAAATTTTTTTTTTTTGAACTTTTAGTACATAAAATAAGCTTTATAAATGACAAGCTAACTTACAACGCTTAAAAATTTTGATATAATTATCATTTTGTATTTAGTTGAACATATTTTTTTTTTTTAATAATTATTGCCTAATATCAAAAAATTAAAAAATTTTTTTTTTCAAAATATAAAAATAGCCAATTTTTAACTCTTTTATTACAAAAAATTTTGATGGACTGATAACAGTTTTACGATATAATATATTCATTGAGTTAAAAGCATTTTTTTTTTTTGTTAAAGCAATGCACAATCAGCAGTGGCTTTGTCACTACAGACTATATGAAAATAATTCCATATAGCCTGTGGTTATATGAATTTCATATACAATGTTACTTTCATCAGGGCTAAACACATACATTATCATTATTACACACACATCAGCTGTTCTCATATCACATTCAATAACATTCCCCCATCTCTTTTTGGTATTCTTCCTTCAAAATTAATTTCCATAACTGTTCTCACAGTTCCTAATTCCTCTCTTCTCATATCATGACCAAACCATCCAAGTCTATTTTCTCTCATCTTATCCACAATTGACGCTACTTCTTTACTTCCTCTTATATGTTCATTCCTTATCCTATCTTCTCTAGTTACTCTACTCATCCAAATAAGAATTCTCATCTCTGCTACGCTCATTCTTTGCTCTACTTTCTTATCAACCGCCCAATACTCTGAACCATACACCATAGCTGGTCTCACTGCAGTCTTATAGAACTTACATTTAAGCCACATAGGATTTCTTCTATCATATAACGCACCAGACGCTTTACTCCACTTTAACCACCCTCACTTAATCCTGTGTCTTACATCCTCGTCAATACCACCGCTCTTTTGCACAACTGATCCTAAATACTTAAAACTTTCCACCTATCCTATTACATTCACGCTTATTGTCACTGATCTCTTCATTTCAACTAGTTTGTGTTCTTCTTTGTCAAACTAGTAATTTTTATACACTGTCTTAGTTCTACTTATTTTAATTCCTTTCCTTCAAGAGCTGATTTTCACATCTCTAGTCTTTGATTAATTTCCTCCCTATTTTCTTCTATTAGTTATATAATATAGTTATTAAATATTTTTATATTATTGGTTAAATATTAAAAGACAAATGTTAATGATACCAATAGCTACAGCAGTTTCTTGAGCATCTCCAGTTACCAATTTAACTTTAATTCCACAATTAAAAAGATGTTCAATAGATTCACGAACAAATGGTTTTGGAGGATCACAAATTCCAACTAGTCCTAAGTAAACTAAATCTTGTAAAGAATGTCCTCTAGCTAAAGCAATTACTAAAAATAAAAATTGACAACAAATTATAAATAAGTATTAATACATAATAGCAGTACAATGACATACCTCTCAAACCTTTTCTACCAATTTCATAAGATTCAGCAAATATTTCTTGCTCACGCTTACTATTGAGTAAAACATTTTCATTGCCATTAGCATACTTTGTACATTGTTTCAGAACTTTTTCTAAAGCGCCTTTGACAAAATAAATTTCTTCTTTAATCTAAAAATTATACAGGATATAAATGTTATAACAATTTTTATGGTTAAAATTATTATTTTAAGGTTGTTAGTCATAATAACAAATGCTTACATCATCATATTTACTAACACATTTTACTGCCATTAATTTTTGTTCTGAACTGAATGGATATTCTTGTAATTTTATATATTTATCACTGACTCCATACATTCTATTCTAGATTTTAAAAATTTGATAACTTATTTAACTTTACATTTTACTCTTTTACATCAAAAATATTAACAATACTTTCATAGCAACTGCTAATAAAGCTCCTTCAGTAGGTTGACCTTGTAATATATCACCATTAATGACTGCATTATTACACACAACCCCAACCTTCAACAATATTACAACTTACATTAGTATTTAATCTATACTACAAAATATTTTTTATTTACTTCTAATAAATTGTATATTGATTGCTTAGTCGCCTCTGAAGATAAAGATTTTAATATATGAACTTCTCCTTGATCATTGTAACCAGTACCAGAGACCTAAAATTCCATTAAAATAATTATATTAGAGAATTAGAGTAAATTTTGGTATAAATTTGATTTACTGAGAACTCTCTATTATTCAATTTGGTTTTCTATTAATGTAGTTTCTCATGTAAAAAATTATAAGCGAAAATAAACTTTTCAAATGTTACAGCAACTTAAAGTTGACGACATAACAAAAACAACTAGGCAATTGTTTTTTTGCATTTTTTATTTAATAAATATACTGAAGTTAAAAACTGAGAACAATTTATATATTCTGTAATTTTTAGCTAAAATAAAATATACAATCATGGTTTTTCTGTTTTTTTTTAGTGAATTAACTAGTCACTGTCATTATTGAAATAATTTTTTTTATTCAAAAAATGTATATATTCTAATTATTGAAATTAAAAACTAAAAGATTTTGGTGTATGTTTCACTTTTTTTAAAAGTTATTATTTTTATTAGATGATGTCTCATAATCACCAAAACATTGATGTACATAATTTATCTAAAAGATCACACAAAGTACTTTTAAAATAAATTGGAAAATAGCATACGTATAGAGATTCCCAAGGAATCCATTTTATTTTTTGAAACATACAAAGACTTTGTAAGATCTTTTAATATCAAAAACTAATGAGTCTAGTAAAGTTAACTTGTTTTTAAGCTTTTTTTTTTTTGTTCCTATGAATAGCAACTTAATAACAACACGACTAATATATTTTTAAATACATATAAATATAAATTATAATGTAATATAAAAAATAAAACTTAGAAAAAATATTAACAGTGTAATTGATCTTATGATTTTAATATAATACTTGCATCAGCATAATATCCATCAGAAGTTATAATTGTAGTCACAGTCATTTCATTATTTGTAATAGTGCCTGTTTTATCTGAACATATTACATTAACACATCCTAAAAATAATATGTAATATTTTAATAGTTTTAAATAGAAAATATATAATTTGAAGCTTAAATTCACATGATTACATATTATTTATCGACAAATATCTAAAAATTTTAAGTTTCTGATTTTTTCAATAACATAAATAAAAAATACTTAACATTACGCTAGGATAATTTCCCTAATTAATAGATATTATAGTTTTCAAAGGTATTGCAAAGAATTAAGTTCTTATTAAATAGTATAAAATAGTCTATTTTAATTCGCTTTTCCTGAAAATTTTTTTTTGTGTGATGTCACTATTTTTGTTGATCAATATGTATAAGTATTATATAGTATCAGTCAGCATCTTTCAACCTATAATAAATTTTTCACACACCATTAATGGTATGTGGAAAACTTAAGATTATTATTAAAATTAAATTTTATGTTCTTATATAACCAAATATTTTTAATTACTTTATTGTTTTACAATTAAAGATTTATACAAAATACATATTTTTAATTTTAGGTAAAAAAAGTTATTTAGCACAGATGTGTACTCAGAATATTTTATAAAGTCACTTTATTTAAAAAAAGAATTTTTATTGAGGAGAGTATTTACCCATAACCTACTCCTTTGGATTTCCCTTAATTTGATCAAGCAGTACATGGAAAGTAGTAAAAATGTATAGATGGTAGTACTTGTATATAAAAGAACCAATGGCATACATGATTAAATAAAAATATGAGAAAACAACAATTTTTTTATATAGATTATAACTAGTTGCTAAAAAATTATAAATTGTGTCATATTTTTTTTTTTTTATTATAGTTTATTAAAATATTGTAATCAAGAAATGGTATTACTTAATTTTACTAACAACTAAAAATCTTTACCAAGTGTTTCAACTGTTGGTAATTTTTTAACAATTGCTTTTCTATTTGCCATACGCATAACACCAAGAGCTAAAGTAACAGTAACTACTATTGGTAAGCCTTCTGGTATAGCTGCTACAGCCAAACTAAAAAATAAAAATTCAATTTCAAAAATTTTCCTTATTCAAGTAACAATTAATTAAAGTTAATAAAACTTTACCTAACACCAATAGTGAACATATCTAAGATAGGCCTTTCTTGTAGCCATCCAAGTACCATAATTAGACCAATAATAAAAAATGAATACATGGATAACTGAGTACCTAATATGTCCATACTATTTTGTAAAGGGGTTTTCGGTGCTTCTTCACTCTGCATCATTTTAAAAAGTTCCCCAAATTCTGATTTTTCACCTGTATTTACTACCACACCTTTTCCATTTCCACAGCGAACTAAAGTACCCATAAATGCAATATTTTTCATTGATGTATGACTCATGGGATTTAAAATCAAATCAGTAATTTTCATACACGGTTCAGTTTCCCCAGTAAAACTACTCTCATCAACAGCTAAATCTATGGCCTAAAAATTATTTAGTTGTAATTATTTTGTAAAATTTTCAAAAAATTAGAATTGTTCCACTTATTTATTTATTTACTTACTTCAAATAGTCTTATATCTGCAGGTACCCTATCACCTGTGCTTAAGTAAACAATGTCTCCAGGCACTAAAGATTTTGCATACATTGATTCCAACTGTTGTTCTCGTAGACTAAAAATCATAAAAAGTTAGATTAAAAAATTACAATACTAATCAATGATGGGTTGAATTCATACTGTCACCTTCATGAGTTAAGTGTTCAAATGTAAAAAATAACCAAGTGAGATTACATTTATAACCACTATGTATACACTTCTACCTTACAGGTAGAGGGGAATTATTTTTTTTTAGTAAAACAATTCGTGTATATCACTTTATTTTGAAAATACGGTGAAACTAAATACACAGAGTAATCAGTTTATCATAAACTTTAAGAAAATAACTGGTTAAAAATGAGAATAACTAACTAACTGATCTTATACTAGTTTATAATACCTTATAACTAACTAAAATATCTTTTCACTAGCTTATAAAATAGAAAATTATCTAATTAAGAAAATATCTGATTGATAACAACTTTTAGACCAGTATTTTCGAAATTATTCTCATTTTTATAACGAATTGAAAGAAAGAGTTTTAGTTTCTTGTATTGTATTTATTTAACGAGTAATCAAGTGGTTTATTATAAACTGATCATTCTGTATATATATAAGTAAATAGATATAAGAAAATAATGTTACAGCTTACCACATGAGGTAAAATGTAACAAAACAAAATTGTTTTTTTTTTAACTATTTAATTATTTCTAAGAACTTATAATGTATATTATTAAAGATGACAACATTATCCATTTTTCGTAAAAAAAAAAAAAAAAAGTAAATTACTTTATGAGGTATTGCTACAAATATAAACAGTGTTACAACTTTACCAAATTTCACTTACAGATAATTGTATTAAAATCATGGTATGTAATATCATTATCATAACAATTAAATGATATATACTATAAAATTATATTAAAATAAGCAAATAATAATGTTAATTTAACTGAAATGATAATTTTATTAATAAAATAATCATCGGAAATGACCATAATTTGGTCAACATTACAAATTTCTGAATCTAGTAACTACGAACATTTATCATATATCTTTTGTTTAATAAATTTTATAGTAGTATCACAGTAAATTCAAATAATTTAAATTTAACAATTAATAAAGTTTTAGTTAAATAAACACAAATTTAAGTTACTAGTTAGTATATTTTACTTATACAAATGAGGAAACATAACTCTATACAGATATCCCACCATCTTCTTACATCTTTAAAAAATTTTGATCCAACAAATATTTTGTATTACTCTTTTTTTTATATATATAATTTTTACAGTTTGAATTATGTTAAAAGTATTTTTTTTATTATTTGTCTCTAATAACAAAAAATAAAAATACATTTTTTTAATAGTTGTACATCATAATTTATTTGCTAGTTTGATACTCATGTCACTGTAATATATTAATTAAATGAAATAATATATAAATTGATAATCTTCTTTTAAGATATTTTATTTTTAAAATTGTAGTTATAACAAAGATCGAGTTTTGTCGTAAAATTTAGTAAAATGACAACCTCTAAAAAAATGTTCAAGGTATATGTACTTATACAGCTAAATAAATGTATCAAAACATCATAAATTATTAGTGATATTATGGAAATCTGATTTATGGAGTCGAATAAAACATCAAATTTTAAAATACAATTCTGAACAAATTCACCATGACATTTGATTATACTAGTTCTATTTTCGAAATACATGGTATGCTTTATAATGTTCAAGACTTAGTTGTAAATGAAACAGTAGTAGACACATAAAAATGGGCGTAGCTTAAAAAATTTGAATATGAAGACTATTTCATCATTTTGGATAATAAACCTAAAAAGATCTTTTATACCCCACTCTTCTAAAAAATTCAATTCATTTATAGAGAGCTGTAATTATTTCTATGAGAGCTAAAGATTCCACAACCTCCATGCAAACAACGCTAATGCATATAAGTAATATATATGACCTATAGATCTCTAAAGAGTATAATAATTATCTTTTAAGATTCTTCAAAAAAAATTTCTAGTAAAAATTATTTTTAGATTATAGAACATAACTTGAAGTAGTAAAAGAAAAGAATTAAGAAAAATAAAAATGAATTTAAAACCTTGAAATTTTCTAATTAAACTCATAAAAACTAACCGTAAAAATTTGGTAAATATTTAATATTTTTAATAGTTACATCAATTAAAAAACAAAATTCTATTTAATCAAATTCAGATTAAGATATTTTGAGGCCTGGAGTCCAAAATTTAAATGAAACTCTCATAAAACTATAAGTAAGTAAAAACAACATTTTTATTAATTATTTAGCTTTTAGATAACCAAGTTTTTAGATTGATGTGATCGTAGATGATGAAGTTTGGGATAAGGGTGGCCGACTCTAGATAGTTGGAAATAAGGCCAGGAAGTAGAAGATTTAGCTTTTAAATTTCTAAATATATTTTTTTAAGATTTATTCTTTGTAGTATAATATATTATGTACATATAATAAATCTAAGGAAAAAAATAAAAAATAAGAGTTGTAAAACATTTTAAAATTGCTTAATTTTATTAAAAAAAAATTATATTTACCATCGACAAGTTGGTGGAACTAGTTTTGTTAATTCTACTAGTGACTTTTCAGACCTATATTCTTGTATAAATGCAACTGTTACCACAATTATTATGGCCTAAAATTTGAATTTTTTCATTTTATTGATCACAAATATTTTTTTAACACACAAAATTAAAAACATGTAAAATACATATGTAATAGTTTGTTACTTAAAATAATTACCAACCGTTGTAATACTGAAAGCATCATCATATTGTTTCATAAACACGCTCACTAATGCAGAAGATAATAAGAGTAGTATCAATGGATTCCTAAACTGAAAAATAATAATAACTATTTACTTTAATGTACTTTTTGTTTAAAAAAAAGTAGTGTCCTCCAACACTCTACATAATTGCACCAAGTTATAGTTATAAATAAAATTGATTTATAGTAAACTAGATCTTTTTTTGAAGACTAATGCCAAACTAAAGTAAAAATATTTTTTAAATTCTGTATAAGCTTTATAAGTAATAAAGAGTATGATATTAATAAACTTTTTCATGAATGTAGAAAAAATATTAGAACTAAATGCTTACTGAATTACTGAAAACAAAAATTCTAATTACAATAATATCAATGATAACATTTTTTTCTAGAATTACCTATTACTTAATAAAAAATATTAATAAGATATTTTTAATATAAAAAATTAAGAAAATTCCAAACCTATATATAATTTTTTAATAATAGTACTAACTTGTTCAATATACTTGATATACAATGAGTCTCCTTGATGAACAGAGAATTCGTTTAAACCCACAATTTGTCTTCTAAACTCTGATTCTTTCCAAGATAACCCAACCCTAAAACTAACTCTTAATCTAGAAATTACTTCTTCAGCACTTATAGCACTAGCTTCTTTTGTTGTTAACCACATTTTTTCATGTTCAGCTATAGCCTGCATCAATTAAATAATCAAAAATATAAATAAATGTACATATATTTATAATTTTCATCTAGATTTTAATAACTGAAGTATTAAATAAACATACATAGCTAGAATTAAACAAGTTACAATGGGATTCATTGGCTAATAATGAATGCAAAGATTCGTTGCTTAAATTTTTAACTACTTTATATTTTGAGTTCATAATAATAGAATATTGTAGTATAGACTAACGATCTTCATATTATTTGTAATAACGGTATAACTCAAAATTCAACGTGTCACAGTTAAAAAAATAAAACATTGTTTACACCAAATATATTTGAAATAAATATTAAATACAATGTAGAGTAAGTTAAATAAATAAAAAGCGAAAAATTAATATTATGTAACTTATTTTTGTGTTTAGTAAACTTCACGGTTAACTGAAAAATTAATTTTGATCATCAAATATTTATTATCAGTATTCTAACAATCACCCTCTTATTGACGATAATAGTTTATCAATTCTTCTATTGCCGACATTAAGCAATATTACCAACTATTCAAAAGAGTTGTTAGAGCTATAGGCATCAGTGTAATATCACAGACTACATGAAACAAAATAAAAAATGTATTTAATCTGTGCTGATAACATGGCAGCTTCACTTTTATGTTAAAATCATATAATAAACAAATTTTATTCAAAACAATCCAGCACGATGAGGTACCGAAACAATGTGGACGTGACATAGTTAAGACAAGCATAAATGATATCTGACAGTGATTAAAATCACTATCATAAGAAATGCTTCGATGCAAATCTGTAGATAGTGTTTAATTTTAAAAAATTCATGGAATATTCAAAAAGCATAATTAACTCTTATTTCCTTCATTGATCCTAATTAGTAGTTCCATGATTTATAAGTATAATATATGATTATATTTTATATTATTGAATATATGAAATATCTATTAAAGCAATTCAACGTAATATGAAATTGATGTTCAATAATTTAATATTGTAATTTGTACGGAGAAATTATAAAAAAAATTGTATTTCTCATAAAATTTTCTATTTAATGGTATAAATTCTTAACTTGCAAGTTAAGCTAAAATAGTATTCAAAAGTTCAACATTTTAAAATTATAAACTTTCATAAAAATCAACTTTAAATAACAAAAAAATAAGTTAAAATAAGTACGATTTGTGATCTTTTGACGTATTGTTGAAAAATCGGTCCAGTGAAAGCTGAGAAACAGTAGCAACAGACACACACACAAAAACACATCATAGTAAATTTAATACCTTCTCAGATTCGCATGGAAGGTAAAAAAACAAATTGTCCCGACGACTTATATTTTACGTGCAAGTGGCTACCATAGTTAAGAAACATGCTATTTTTGTGTTCAAATTTTATTTAAAAATACCCTACAAGGGTTTGCCATAGTAATGAGTACACGAATTTTTATGGATATCAAGAACCCTATCACTGTAGTCTCTCTTTGTGAGAAGGAACTTCTTATTCATAATAAAATATTTTACCATATGATTTTTGTGTCTGTCATTTATATTTTCAAATTTTTCAATTTGATTTCATGTCCAAAATTATATTTTTTCTATTACTTCAATAATCTTTGAGATTATTACTAATTAGAAAGCGAGTATTGACAAATAAAAAATATAATTGAAAAAATGTTTTTATCAAGTTATTAATTTATTATATGTTAAAAATAATCTGTACAATATTTCAATTCAAAAGATCATTTTAAACTTATTATTTTGATCCTTTAAAGTCTATTTTCTCTCATCTTATCTACGATTGACACTACAACTATACTCCTTCTTATATGTTTGTTCTTTTTCCTATCTTCTTTAGTTACTTCACTCATCCAACTAAGCATTCTCATCTCTGCTACACTCATTCTCTGCTCTACTTTCTTGTCCACCGCTCTTTTGCACAACTGATCCTTAATACTTAAAACTTTCCACCTCGCCTATCACGTCCTCGCTTATTGTCACTGAACTCCTCATTTCACCTACCTATGGTTTTACTGATATTGATGTCTTTTATCGCATAAATAGGACTAAGTATTGGTTATTCACTTATCTAATACCTTTTCTCAAAATTTCATACTATGACTTTAAGCCACTATTCCACAAGATATCCTCTAACATCTTTTTTGAATACTCCTCATTCAGTAATTTTTCAAAATACTCTTTCTACCTTTTTTCACATTATCATTACTCTCTAATACACTGTTATCAACACTTTTTAAACTCCTTACATAGTGATAATCTTTAGACCTTTTTTCTCTCACTTTTGCAAGTTTATAGATTTCTTTCTTGCCTTCCTTTGTTCTATACTCCACCCAATCTTCTCACCTTTTACTCTTCTGCCAAACTTTGAATTGTTTTTTCTTACTTCCTATGATTTTTTGAATGTCTTTATCTCACCACCAGGTTTCCTTGTTTTCTGGCATTCTACTCCTACTCTCACCAACAATCTCTTTTGGCAGTATTCTTTACACAGCTAGTAAATCTATTCCACACATCATTTATGTCTCCCTCGAAATTTTACACTGTTCTCTCATTTACATATTCATATCTCTACCTATCACCGCATCCTCATTGCCAGGCACTCCTTGCATCACCTCATATCTAAGTATGATACAATTACATAAATGAATAAAAAATTGATATTGTGAATTTATATATAAATCTTTACTACCTTAATTAAATTAATTATTTAATAAATTTATTTAAACTATTTTAATATGGAGAACTACAGTAACGAACCGATAACTTTGATGATATTTTGTGTAACTTAAATGTTTTTTTGTTTAAATATTTTGGAATTCTCTAGATATTAAACATTATTAATATGTTGATTACATTATGTCATTGTTCTAATTTTATTAAATAAAATTTAATTTATAAGATAAATTTAATATATTATAACCGTATTTATATATTATTGCCTACTCCTTGATATGATTGGTAATACCTGTCTAGCATACATTTGCCAATAATCGATTCATCACAAAATTTAAAACTAATTAATAAACGTATGTAAGAGAAAAATATCATAGAAATTGTTATCTAAAAAAGTTGTAAATCACAACATTTTTAAGAGGCCGTTATAATAAAAATGGAAAAAATGTTTTGAAGAAAAAAAGTTATTATATTACCACTAGTCATCATATTTTAAGTAATATGTAATATTACTTAATATTATATTGTGATTACCAATGTTTGTAATTAATACTAACCTGTTTATATTTTTTTTTTTCAGTTTTCTTAGCCAAATCACCATTTTTATCCTGAAACAAAAAATTTCTACGATAAATTCAGCATTTATACCAAATTTGTGAATGATCTGGTGTGTTATTTTATTTTTGAACGGTCAAAACATAAAAAATGCCACTTTATACTTAATATTGTCCAATGAAAAGGTTATTAAACATTTGACTACATTATTTTTAGTTTTGTAAATAGTAGTCATTCTAGGTAAGCGGTCTGCCTAGTTTAGTTTGTAACGCGTCTTGCCTCAGTGTGTAGGTACCGAGATGGTTCGATTCCTTTGCACTGAGCTATCCATCCTTTTTGGTACAAGCAATAGTTTTTTTAAATACAATTACATTTAAACAATTTAATTTAATAATATTTTTGAAAAAAACCTGTAACTTACAGGCGTACAAAATAGGGTAAGCGACTGCCACCCCAAATTACGTCTCCTTACAATCATTTTTTTATGATTATATTATAATATTTTATTCAAAATATTATAATACTAAATTTTATAAATTTTTAATCAGTCAATTTTGCCGGAAAATATACTAAAAGTATATATCAAAAAAATATAATTTTTAAAAACTTAATACGTATATACATGTGTACAGTCGATACTCAATATAATGAAGACCAGACATATTTGAAACCAGTAAAGATTTAAATCTAAAAATTATTAAAATTACTATCAAAGAAACGCTTTGATATATACGTGTATGAAAATAGTTTTGGCAGAAGAATTATATTATAACTAGAAAGGAGTCCGAGTTTCCTTATTACAGTTTATTATTATGTATTACAGTGCACTACAGTTTAAGAAATAATACAAAAATTTCCTACGTCAGTATGATATTTTTAATATATATTAAAGTAGTGTAGTTAATTATTTCTATATTTATAATGAGACAAGCTCAGCTGTACAATAGTTAAACATAATTTATAGTATTTACAACATAATTTGAATAATATATACACAAGAGAAACTAACTAATTTAAATTAAAAAACAAGTGTGGTGTCAGCATTAATAGTACGCATCAACTGAATAATAGGATAATTAAGTAGCTGGGACGAAGAACAATAAGGAATAAAAATAAGAGCAAATGATTGATTCACTCTAAGTGGAACTTTAAAATGTATAAGAGATAAAAGTTCAGGAGGGTCTATGTTACCACATATATGCTTAGAAAAAAAGCTTAAGTTATTCACGAATAACTCTATGGACAAATATATGTATACGATCAGATAAGTTTGTGACGTCTAATGCTAAAAGGATGAGAGTATAATTATGAGGAGACATTGGCGTACATATATATGAAATACTTTGGAGGGAGGCTAAATTACTTTTTCCCCCAACCAACTTAATTTTTAAATACAATTTTTTTTTTATTTTAGGGAATCATGGCAACTTTTGAGGAGGCTAAGCCCCTTTAGCTATTTAAGTTTATACGAGGAAGACAGGAATGTTAAGAATAATAGAGCAAAGACAAAGAAATTTTCTTTAAACTCTTTCTCAAATAGAACTAACATCTTAGTATACCAAAGAACATTATTATATTCTAAGATGGAGCGGATGAAAACAGAATGAAGGGATTTCAATGGTTTTAATGGGTAATTATAACATAAAGTATCGAAAATTTGTGTACAAATATAAAATATTACTAACATTTTATCTCACATTATATGCGTTAAAAACTTCCAGCGCATGTATGTAAACATTCGGAAATTTTTTTTTTACGTGTGCAAAGTAAAAACAATATATTTTATGGTACAAAAAAGGCTGTTTATGTTTTCCGTGTTTTAACTTTGACGACCGATTACACTTTAAAGACAAGTGGTCGGAACAAATTTGTTTTTTACCTTAAAATAAGTTATATAATTTATAATTTCATGTATATTATAAGATATCAATATTTTCATAACATCAAAAATGTAAATAAAACAAACAATTTTGTTTTATTTAAATTACTAAATTTTTTCTATAATTTAAAACCTATTTTTATTATTATGAAAACTTACTAAATAAAAATGAATGGCGATAGCAACTAATTTACTTATTGGAGAGTATTAGAGTTGGATAATTTTTAGGTTAATTTAGGTCGTTAATTTATGGGTCGCATTTGTAGGCCTACCCAATGTAAAGTTTAACGAAAGTTTCAGAACAGTTCATATAGTGTAAAAGAAGAAAAAAAGTTAGATAGTTCACAAAATATTGAGAGTTAGATTTGATATAAGGTCATTTGAAATTTTAGATTTTAATGAAAGAATAGTTGTCAACATTTGTAAAGCAAAACTAGATTATTATCCAAGTAAATAAACAAACGTGGAGTATAGAAACGCTCTCTTGCGTTTTACTTGAACGTAATAATGTATAGAAGAGATTTTGAAGGATATTTTAATATATTATCATGTAGTCAGAGACGTATTTATGGTACAGTGGAATATGTTCCTAAGGCGTAAAAATTTCTGAGGGTGTTTCTACTATATGACTTTACGAAAAAAGTTTAATGGGACATTTTGAACTCGTTGCAGGGTTTGAATAACTAAAGACATAGATATATGTATAAATATTCTAAATAATACAACAATCCATGAAATCTTTAACACAATGTAGGAAAATAGTTAGAGTGATTAATGTATATATAATTTATAAAAGAATTATTACACTTTTTCTATATATTTATTCATAAATCTTATGTGATTCCGACCAGTTCTCATTGAAATTAACAGATAGAATGATCAAAGCTTGTTACATTATATATGTTTAACGTCCTATATTAAAAGATATTGCATTTACCAGGAAAGAAATACCTACATAGCCTAACACAACAGAATCGATTCTATGCTCTAGAACACAGCTCATTTAGGAATTTATTATAGGATCCAGATAATTTTTATAATGTAAATAAGGGAGAGCTTCTACCCTCCCCTACCATGTTATAGAATAGTTGTCTAGTTGGGTTATGTAAAAAAAGGGATTCCAATGATCGCCAACTTTTTCTAATTTCTTAATTTAAGGGTCTCCAAATAAGATATATAATAAAATTAAAACTGTATTATATATAATAAAACCTTAATATATCTTATGATAGTTTTGTGTTAGAAATAATAGTTATGTATTGTATGTTTTTTATGCATTACACATGTGTTTTTTTTAGCGAAAAAAGATGTTCGATAAAATAATTAGTTAAACAATTGCCCTGTGTTTTTAAAAGCAATGACATTCTACTTTTTTATTGTTTTAAAACAACAATGTCTGTCATGTAAATAGAATGCTAAACACGTTAATGAACCATTAAATTATGCTCAATTTATTACACCATTCAATAAGTCCATGAATGTACAATGATTTAGAGATATTTTTTATGATTTCTTTGCTATTTTCTATGACATCTAACAACTATTATTTGAAAAACTCAGTAGAATTCCTCTGAATGTTACTTAGAAAAAAATATTATTTTCATACTAGAAAACAAGACATTGTTTTAGTTTTTAAATAGATTCGTATTTTATACTAGTCAGCATAAGATAACTTTTCTTCAATGTTAAAGAATAAATAAGTAGCGTGAGTTAAGAACTAACGTGATTATATACACTAGATATATGAATCATTGTAAAAAATGATCCAAAAAATCTCAAATGGAAGTATGATATATTTAAATGCACGTTAGTTTTACATACAAGTAGTACAATTTTAACATTAGAGTATCAAAATTCTTAAAGAAATACAACGTTTACGTCACTATGTCCATTAAGAGTGTTATTTTAAAAATTAAATAAATTTGTTCTGCTAAAATATAATTTTCAAACTTAACAATTAATTCAAATTTTTTTTTTTTTTATAGAAAACTTTTTAAAACTTTTTAGTATATTCTATAGAGCATAAGTAAAATAGAAGTGCTTTAGTAACCTACTAATAAGCACCGATACTTCCAAAACGCTTTGTATTCAAAAATAGAGTAAAATTTTATATTATTGTACATAGTAAATTTTATTGCTTAGTTATACCATTAATTATTTGATATTGAGCATAGCAAAAATAATATTTTTGTTTACATCATGTAGTTTTCTTATTTGCTTAAGACAGATAAATACGCTTCACATTAGTCAGATTTATAAATATCCAAATGCGCTTCATATTTTCACAAAATTCATATAAAAGCTGGTTAAACTTTAACTATTTTAGCTTCGATGCGAAGCTAAAATATATTGGTTTTACTATGATGTGTTTTTTTTTTTGTGTCTGTTACCACTTTTTCTCAGCTCTTACCGAACCGATTTCTTTCAACGATACGTCAAAAGATCACAAATCGTATCTAGTCGAAAACATTACCCTCAAAAATTGAAAAAATTTCCCTCGTTTCCTGCAAATAGGGGAAATCTCCAAAAAAAATTATAAATTTAAAAATCGCTAATTTTCGAAATTTTTTCAATTTACTTTTACTTCAAATTGCCATAACTTTTTTAAAAATAACCAAATCAATATAATTTTTTTTTTATAGATGCATGCTGTCTTTTCTTACCATTTGATGTAATTTTTTTATAAATTTGACCCTTTACCTGCCCACATGGAGAGATTCAAAATGACAACTTTTTCACAAAAAAATTACTTTTTCAACTTAAATTTTGAAAGTGTTCCGGAAATACTAACACTTTTATATATATCTTAAATTAAACCTTATGTAATATACACATTTTAATATTACAAAAAAAAATTTCGTACTTTATTTTGTCTTCATAGTGAAAATAGCTAACTTATTCAAAAATATGCTATTTTTGTGTTAAAATTCTTGGTTGGGTTGGGTTATGAAAGTTTAAACCTGCCCGCTTAGGAAAATCAAAAAAACAATTTTTGCACACAAGTTAAGCTTTTTCAATTTTTGAAATTATTACGGAAATATTGACACTTTTATTTTATCTTAAATTAGAGTTTATATTATTATTTAGAATAAAGTTCATAAGACATAAAAAGTTTAACTTATTTAAAATTTTTTGCTTTTTTAAAGTCAAAAAAGTAACTTTAAAATTTGAATTAGCTTAAATTATAGTCTTCAGCGAAAGCGACGAACAGTTGACGAATCAATAACACTTTTGTCTTTCACGGTTAGGTACCAGGATCAAATCTACCTGTGGCAATTAATATTTTGCATTTTTTTTAAGTTAAAAAATTTTGAAATAATTTAATTTTTATCTCATTTAGATACATTAACTTCAATAAATATTAAGGATCTCATCACTGTAGTCTCTCTCTCCTCATGAGATTTTCAAGAAATTTTTTAATCATGATAATATTATTGTTTATTTTGTGGCTGCGATTTATTTTTCCAACCCTCAATTAACTTACTTTTTCCAACGAAATGTTAAATAATTACAATTCATATTTAGTAGAAGATATTATCCTCAAAAATTAAAAAAAAATCCCTTAATCAAATAAAAATTACCTTAAACAGTTTTATCCATACAATCAATTAAAATGATTCATTTCTAATATTTTTAATGTATTTATTGTCGAATAAGATTTGATATGATAAACTATTCAACTGCAAAAGTAAATCATTTTAGTTTGTAATTTATTAATTTTTTAACTATTTGTGTGTGTTACTAACAGTCTATAATATTCCAAATTTTTTGGGAACATATTACTATAAAAAACACCAGCACAGGGGGGTCGCGGCAGAGTGGTGACGTAGCATAGTTAGATCAAGTATAATGATATCTGAGAGTGATTAAAATTACTATCATAAAAAACGCTTTGATGCAAATCTTTAGATAGTGTTTAATTTTAAAAAATTGGTGGACTATTCCAAAAGCTACATGATCTGCTAGTTCATTATTAATATCCTAATTAAGATAAAGTATGTAGAATGAAAAAGGGATTATTAAAAAATATTATTTCTCATAAAAAAATAATGTTGATCCATACACTTTTCAATATGTCATAGCATTATAAAGTTAAAAATGTAAAATACAAAATCGAAAATTTTCACACAAAAATAGCATTGGGTAGCCATTTTCACCCTGAAGATAAAATAAAATCCGAAATTTTTTTGCATAATAAAGAACATTGCATTAGCTTCAATTTAAGATATATATAAAAGTGTCAGAACTTCCGGAACATTTTCAAAATTTAAGTTGAAAAAGTAAATTTTTTGTGAAAAAGTTGTCATTTTAAATCCCCCCCTGTGGGCAAGTAAAGGGTCAAATTTATAAAAAAATTACATCAAATGGTAAGAAAAGACAGCATGCATCTATAAAAAAAAATTATATTGATTCGGTTATTTTTAAAAAAGTTATAGCAATTTTAAGTAAAAAAATTGAAAAAATTTTGAAAATTATCAATTTTTAAATTTGTAATTCTTTTGGAGGTTTCCCCCATTTACGGGGAACGAGGGGATTTTTTTCAATTTTTGAGGGTAATGTCTTCGACTAGATACGATTTGTGATCTTTTGACGTATTGTTGAAAAAAATCGGTTCGGTGATAGCTGAGAAAATGTGGTAATAGACACAAAAAAAAATAAAAAAAAATAAACAACACATCTTAGTAAAACCAATACCTTCTCAGCTTCGCATCGAAGCTAAAATGTAAAATACAAAATTGAAAATTTTCACACAAAAATAGCATTGGGTTGCCATTTTCACCCTGAAGATAAAATAAAGTCCGAAATTTTTTTTTTTTATGATAAAGTATATTACATTAGCTTTAATTTAAGATATATATAAAAGTGTCAGAACTTCCGGAACATTTTCAAAATTTAAGTTGAAAAAGTAAATTTTTTGTGAAAAAGTTGTCATTTTAAATCCCCCCCTGTGGGCAAGTAAAGGGTCAAATTTATAAAAAAATTACATCAAATGGTAAGAAAAGACAGCATGCATCTATAAAAAAAAATTATATTGATTCGGTTATTTTTAAAAAAGTTATAGCAATTTTAAGTAAAAAAATTGAAAAAATTTTGAAAATTATCAATTTTTAAATTTGTAATTCTTTTGGAGGTTTCCCCCATTTACGGGGAACGAGGGGATTTTTTTCAATTTTTGAGGGTAATGTCTTCGACTAGATACGATTTGTGATCTTTTGACGTATTGTTGAAAAAAATCGGTTCGGTGATAGCTGAGAAAAAGTGGTAATAGACACAAAAAAAAAATTAAAAAAAAAATAAACAACACATCTTAGTAAAACCAATACCTTCTCAGCTTCGCATCGAAGCTAATAGTCAATCATTTCAAAAATAAATTTTGTTTTCGGCTTTAAATTAATCTTGTGACGCCTCTTAATTACACTTCTTGCTTAAATTTTAACATATTTTTTGGAAACTATTATTTTTCAGTTAAATAAAAAGTTAATACACTTGAATAAACAGTTTTGAGTATATTTAGACATTAAATCACGAAGAATAAATACTGTGGCCCTTATCATTGTAATTTAATACTAAATGTAGAAATTATATCTTTTCATTGATTTTACCCCATAACATGTCAGACAGAATATACAATGAATAATCATATATTATTTTCCAATAATAAATTTAATTCTAAAGTACATGACAGAATACTAAGTCTATTTAAATCATATTACATTTTTTATTTGAAATTGTTCATATGAGAACTAGTTTAAAAACATGGTTGAAATTAAAATATGCTTAGTGATGAGTAGAAACATATTTTATACTTTTAACTCTACACACATTTTTAGTTTTAAAAGCGTATAATACAAATTGTTATTAATTATGTCCATCTTACAAAAAATATTGAATTTATTTCAGTAGAAATTTATATTATAACTTTTCGTCTTTTGTCTCATAAACCGCTTCTGTTATACATGATATGTAGTAGCTGGAGTCACACTCACGAGTTAACATTATGAAATTTTCAAAAAAATATAAAAGCTATATAAGATTATACCAAACGAAAGAATAATGTTTTTAAGAAGTTTTTTAATATATATCAATAACATTTCTTTTTTTTAAATAGTAAGCTTATTTTTCAGCGTTTTATCGAATATTTCGAGATAGTCACTTATGAGTTTTAATTTTAGCCAACTTATTAATAAATCTTGCTAGTAAATGTTATTATAACTGACTTACTGGACTCTTAACGGACGTTTGAATTGTGGGCTGCTCGTCTTCAACTGGTAACACTTCACAACAATGATTAATGTCTGAAATCACTAGGTTGTTAGATTCGGCATTTTTTGTTTTAACCATATCCACAGATACGTTGTTTTCATCAGTTTCTGATAGAACGTCACTCGTCTGCGGGTCTTTTTCAGGCTTAGTTTCAATATCGTTATCCATTTTTTACACTTAAAAATATTTTTTAAATAAAATCCTTTGGCTTCAATATTAACTTTGAATAAAAGAAACAACAACAATTGTCTCACCGTGTTGACACTCACAGCTACACTGCTCGCGATAGGCGATATGTAGTATCACTGGTTCAAAGTACGCAAATTATCTTTTACACGTAAATTGGAATAGCAAACATGCTCTAAGACCACATGTACGCTATTGATGTTTTAAGAATTTTACAAATAGTTTTAGGACACTTTTCTTGAATTATGATCAACGGTTAAAGGTTGTCATCTACAAAACTATTATTATTATTAAACCAATGAGCACTTCATGAGTTATCGTCCAGGTGATAAAATATTATGGTCACAAAACAAAAGGTACATCGTAATAATGAATTAAGTCAACAAAGATAAAAATTCATTAGGTATATGCTTACATATAAAGTAAATTAATTAATTAGAAAAATTAATGGAATTTCTTTTTATTAGTTTTATATTAGAAGTTAAATTTAATATTAGCAAACAAAAAAAAATTGAATCGTTTTCGCTAATAAAATCAATTTTCAACAATTTCAAAATTTATGTTGTTTAAATTAAATTTTTATGATTATGTTTTTAATAAAACCAATTAGAAAGCAAGAAGTCGCTTTTTAAAAAAAGTGATAAATTTAAGAGATATTCACGAGCTTAGGGTGAAATAATATTGCACTCATACGTAGGTATGAACTTTGAAACATTAAACTTCAAAACGTTCATTTAAATAAATTGTTTTAATTGTAAGGATTTTAGCCAGGTGAAAGTTTTTCCCGTCACTTTATATAATTTGAAAATCATTAGTTAAAAAAAAATGTATTTACAAAATAAAGTCTTCAAAATAATTAGAGTTGTCAACCAGTTCTTTAAAATATAAAATTCTAAATGAAATAAAAGTTAACTGGGTGACGTTTAAATAAAATAAAATGTATCTACCGTTTATTAATAAAGTTATTTCGGATGATTAATTATAATGATATTAAATATGTATGAATTAGGTAAGTTAGAGAATGAAAACTATAAAAAATAAAGAGTACATGATAAATAAAGTAAATATTTTTTATAATAATATTATAATTCGTAAACAAATTAATTGAACTATGCACGATGATTAAAAATACTAAATATATTGTAATAATATACGACTTTTAATAGTACAATCAAAAATGTTTCGTGAAAGTTATGACAATACTACGTATCTGTTATTTTTAAAATTATTCAGGACAATATTTTGAATAATTTACAAAACCATTCATGGTTATGGTAACTATGAGAAACAGTGATAGGTTGAATGTGCCATATTCAACCAATATTGTTTCTCATTGGACGGATTATTTTAAAAGATATATCTAAAATTACAAATTTTACATAGTTGAGCATATTACTTACATAAATTTTAAAAATTCTCCGTAAATGAGAGAAACATCCAAAATATTACGTTTTGTAAAATTGATAAATTTTAACATTTATACTTTAAATATGTCCTTTTTATTTAATATAATTTTTTTGGAAGTCATACTCTTTACCACGTATAAGATAATTCATTTTGAATACAAGTTGATAAGTCATAAAATATTCCAATACATTATTGAAAATTATTTATTTATTTTTTTACGATTTTATTATAATTTTAAAGATGTAACGTAGTCGAAAAACTACAAATTTTTACAAGAAAATGATAGGAGATAGTTAAGGAGGCTCTGATAGATTTGTTTGTTTTTCTTTTTATTTGAAGTATATATATGTATTCGTTCAAGTATTTCATTAATAATTTGCTCAAACTTAAAATAATAATAATTTTCTTAAAAAAGTAACAATTAGAAAAAAATTGTTATTTATTTGAAATCTTTAAAAATTATATTTTATTTTCTAAAACTTACTCCTGTTGGATTATAAAATGTTTTAACTAACAGATTGAGTAATTTATAGTTTTTATTTTAAATGTAATTTTATTAATGTTGTTTAGTAATCAGTAGTGTTACCAAAAAATATTCCTTCGTTTATTGGAGTTCACCTTATGTATAAATACATTATATATATTATATCCTAATTTAACTACACTCATGTATGAGTATAGGTAAATTAGTACATGTAATAAAATTTTTATTTCACCGGAACCAAACAAAACTTAATTACTCTAGAAATTCAACTTTTTTTGCATTTATACATATTTAATAATTTATTTTTTAAGTGTCTAATATTCATAATATTAGTTTCAAATAATCTAACTTTGACCAAAATGCATTAAATTAAGATAAAACATATTTGACTTGTATTGTTTTTGCAGCGAAAGAAATTTATAATATAAAATCTAAACCAAGAAATAAACTAAAATAGATAAACACAGAAATTATAATAATATTATGACACAAACTAAAATAATTTTTTTAAATTAAATAAAATATTTATTTTTTCTTAAACAACAAAAACTTAACTTGACAAAATGTTACAATACTGGAACATTTTTTAATCATTAAAACTTATATTTTATTATATATATTACATATTTTATTTAATAAAGTTTCAAACTATTAACTTTCAATATTATTATTTTTTTTATAGTTGTGTTGATAAAAAATACATTTTATGTAAAATATTCATGGCTTTCAGTGAGATTTGTAAATGTCTGCAAAAACTACACAAGTCAATGTAGTTTTTGCAGTGATTCTAGTTTGTTGTAGAAAATTTTTGTATTAAATATGAGTCAAATATAGTTTTATACAGAATTCGTAACTAAATAAATAAATTTAAATTTTTTCAATTTTGAAAAAAGTCATTGTTAAAAAATCGGTGGCTTATGTCGTGTTTCAAATGTCCAATTCAATTATTAATGTATACCTTGGACAAATAATAATTATGTGCTATTTATATTGTAAAGTACATCCCCCACAAATCAGCATACACCCTAAAACAAAAAGTTATGCGAAAACACCACTGATATACGACACATAATCTCCAAGATACCAACTGTTAATTATAAAGTAAATTTATCACTAATGATTATTAAAGTTATATTTAGGACCGATAAGTTTTGTGAAACCTTTCAAATTGTTGAATTTAACTAAGAGCACATAGTAACACTACTTTACATTTAAAACCCCATACTTTAAAATGAATTTATAATTAATTACATAACGAACACAATGAATCTTACTAAAGATACAAAATACAAACGACAAAAATTACGTAGAGTTGAAATAAGATCACAATCGAACCATTCTTAAATAATATATAGTTAATGTTAACATCCCGCAACATTCGCATGCTCAAATTATCACAATAAAGTTTATAGACTTATTTTTATATTGGTAGTAAGTTATTTTATCATTTATTTTTGTTGGTTATCAAATTGATAAAATAAATTAGAATATAATAGAAAAGATGTTCGCGCAGATATTATCTCTATCTATAAACTCACGTGTAAATATAACATTATATGGGTGATACAATTTTTTATGTTAAATTACCTACAATTTAACCAATTAATTTAAATTTAAATTAGTCATTTAGATACTTCAGTGTTAATTTGTTTGGAGTAATCATTAAATAAAAATATGAATAATTATAAAAATTTCAACAAGAATTAAGATAAAGAAAAATAGTTTAATTTCTAAATTCTGAAAAATGACTTTTCGAGATTTAAATTTATCCACATATTTGTGCAAGCAACTAGAAGCTATCGGTAAAAGACAAAATCATATAGAATTATAAATTAGAACATTCATTTTTCTTTAAAAATTAATTTTGTCCTAAATTAAAATTTTTATTTTAAAAATATAGATATTTTTATTAGATTATTAGTTTTTATTAGACTATTATTTCATTTTGACGACTTTGTTGTCCTCGGACAGGTTATGTCACTTCAACAGCAGGTGTAAAAGACCCGTCAAATAGTAAAGTAGAGTCAAATAGTTGGGATACAAACTTAGGAAAGATGATTGGCAACTTTTGTAATAAAGTGGTTAAGTCAAATTTTGCCTTTTTTAGATTATTTATCAATTTAATTAGAATAATAAAATGATTTTAATAAAACTATTTTATTTTTTTAGTTTCCTAAAAAATTGCCATTTTTGATGATTAATTACTATAAAGATTGTACATATATTTATAATCATTTTTATTTATTGGGTTAAATTAAATAATAAAATAGATTATATAATCAAAATTAAAAAAAAAATACATCTTAGTAAAACCAATACCTTCTCAGCTTCGCATCGAAGCTAAAACAAAGGATAAGAAAATGTTAAATCAGAATCTTATAACTTTATATTAAATATTACATATCGATATTGAAGTAAAGTATATTAATTATAGACATTAAATAAATATATATTAAAATTAAATATAATTTTTATTAGGAAAATATGTTCCCATAAATAATTTATTTTAAGTTATTTAACTTAAAGACTGGATTAAGTAGTAAATAAAGTAACTTCTTTTTGGGTATTGTGTAATTTTATTATAAATGTTTTTTTTATTTGAGTTATTTATAAAATATAACTTTTATTATTGAAAAATGCATTTTTTAAAGATAATTTATATCATGTTTGATCCAAAATTAGTTTCAAATAGTAATAGTGGTTTAAAATAACATTTTCTATATTTATATATCTATTATTGTACTTAATTTTTCAATAGGTGTAAAATCTCCTACAGAAATTCAAAAAAATTGCATACCAAAAATTTTGGAAGGAATTGATTGTATAGGATGTGCTAAAACAGGAAGTGGAAAAACATTAGCATTTGCTTTGCCTATTTTACAAAAGCTTTGGGAGGAACCATATGGTATATTTGCACTCATACTTACACCAACTAGAGAACTTGCTTATCAGGTAATATTGTTATGATCTAAAAATAAATTTATATAATTATTATCTCAATAATTTTAGTTTTAGTTTTAATTGTTTATTAGTTGGACAATAACTGCCTATGCACTCAGACCTATTGTGCAAACTACTTAGCAAATTATATGAATTCAGATTTCCTAGAATATTTTTGCCATTTTTTGTATACTTATATATATATATATATATATTGGATATCCTACTAAACTACTTCTATGTAATCAAAGTGTCCTGTCATTTTTGTAAATTTAATATCCTTTTGGATTATAGATTTTTGATCTCTTCCTCTTCGGGAAAAGATTTTTGCAAATATTTAGATCTTAATGTGGCTAGGATGTCATATTTACACAATGTGAAATGAATTATTCTATTCTGTTCCACACATCTTGTTCAGTGGTGATTTTGTCACCCTAATTATGTAAAAATGTTTAAGCAGATAACCTTATCCTGTCAGTACTCCGGTCAGAATGCTTATTTAATGTGTAGTCATGTTATTATCAAAGCAGCTTGACTATCATTCAGGATAATAATGTTCCTTTCCTTGAATACTAGTAAGTTTTACTACTAGTATTGTGATTATCCCTGTTTGGAATACAAAAAGTATTGAGCCCATTGACATGCTGACTTTAATGCAAGGTTTTAATCCCCAAATGCTAACAATTCTGCCATTTCTGATTTCTTGGAGCTGTCTGTACATATTACAAGTTACATATGTTCTATAATTTTCAAAAATAAATTGACTCTTTCCCGTATCTTGCCTCTATAAAGTAGTATTACCTTAAGTTTTTTAAATAGAAACATACATGTATATGTTTAATTAGCTTAAAAATAAGAAAATAATTGGTCAATAATAACTTTTGAAACATTATTTTGAGATATATGATTCTTTTATACTAAGACAGGAGATATAAAGCGAATTTGTTTATTTTGATCTCTACATATATAAATCACACTACTTCTCCCAGCTTTCTCCATATAGACAATTAAAATCATTAATTTCTAATATTTTTAAAGTATTTATTGTCAAATTAAGTTTGATATGATAATAAGTTTCAACTACAAAATTAAATAATTTTTCTTTATAATTTATTAATTTTTTTAACTCTATTTGTGTGTGTTACTAACATTCTATAATATTCCAAATTTTTTGGTAACACGTCCTATATCATTTCTAAAAAAATGATTTTTAAATTGACCTGAATTTTTACAATTATAATAAAATTTTATAATACGCTCAATTAAGTAGATTTTTTAATAACTTTTTGATTGGTTTTTTTTATTTAAAGTAAATCATTAAAATTATTTAAGTTCTAAATATTTCAATTGTAGAATCTTTTTAAACGCCAAAAGTTACTTAGAAATTATTACTGTTATTTTCTATTTATAGATATATTACAATAAAAATGCAAAAAAATTATTGAGCTTTACTGATAAATTTACTGTAAATAGTAATTATAAAATTTCCTGACTGCATATTAATCTTAATACAATTTTTTTAATTCTCATAAAATTTTCTATTTAATTATGTTAATTTTAAACTTGCAAGTTAAGCTAAAAGTCATGGTAATAAATTCACCTTTTTTTAAATATAAATTTGCAAAAAATCAACTTTAAAGGACCAAAAAAATAGGTTAAAATGATATTTATTTTGCACTGATTATTTTTAACATATTAAAAATCAAAATTAGTAGTAATATCAAAATTTAGATATGATAGAAAAAGTCTAATATCAGATTTGAAAACAGTGCAAAAAGTTTATTTTGAAAAGTATATTTTTGATTCCAATAAAAGTTCCTTGTAGACCAATGTATTTATTCATAAGTCAATAAAAAAATTTTTTAGAAAGTATTGCATTAAGCCCTTTAATTTTTATACGTGTTTGCCATAAAAGTAACAAAATATACTACTTTATCATTTTATATTATTTTTCCTTTAAAATTACACTATTAAATTATTAAATATTAATTTCATACTATATTTAATTACTATTATAAATATTTATTCATAAATTTTTCCACAAAAGTTATATTTATTTCTCATAAATTTGTAAAAAAGGTGATGATCATGTTTTACATCTAATTATATTTATCAATACTTCACTAGATATATGTAAGTATTTCTCTTTTGAAAATGAAAGCAACTTGAAAAAAATGTGCATTTTTTTTGTATCTTTTATCAATATTTCAGTTAACACTTTTATTTGCTTATTATATTTCTTTTTCAATTTATGTTTAAAATATGATAAATATAATTTATATTATCATTAACAAATTGATTGGTTAAAATTGTTTAAATAAATTATAATGCATAAATTTATCAATAATTTAACTCTACAAATTAATTTAATTTAAATACATTTCAAATGTTTTTAATTTATTTATTCAGTATTTATTTATTTAATAATATCTTATACTATACTCGTAACACTATGACTAGAAAGGTTGAATCTATAGAAAAAAATTTAGTTGAAATATTGAAAAAGACATAAATGAATGTGTTCATTTTTCACTTCCATTTGATGAATCAACAGAAATTACAGATACCACTCAACTATGTATTTTTGTACGACTAGTTTTTTCAAAATTTTAATTCAAAAGAAGAATTATTAACTATAATCCCTATGAAAAGTACGTCGCGAGGAAATGTTTATCTAGCTTTCATTAATTTTGTCAGTAACTCAAATTTACCTTTGTATAAATTAGTTTGTATTACGACTGATGGAGCTGCAGCTATGATATGGTAAAAATAATGATTTTATTGCTTTGTGTAAGAATGATAATAATTTTCCAAATTTTTCATCGTTTCATTGTGTGATTCATCAACAAGTATTGTGTGGAAAAATATGTGCAGTAAAATGGACATTGCTTTTAAAATAGTCAATTCTACACTTTCATGAAGCATGCTAAGACGACTTTTTAAATTACAATTAGAAGAAAATGATTCTCAGGGTTGTTATTTATTACTTCATACAGATGTGCAATGATTGAGCTGTGGTAAATTTCTAGAAAGGTTTCAGTGTTTACTTGCTGAAATAATAGTTTTTAAAATCCAGAGGCGATAATTATGATTGTTTAACAAACAATGCATGGCTTCAAAACTTAGCATTTTTAACAGATATTACAGCTCATTTAAATACTTTTAATGTTGAATTTCAAGGAAAAGGTAGGAAAATAATTGAGTTATTGAGTTCTATAAATGGTTTTAAATCAAAATTTATATTACTTAAGTCACAATTAAAAGCAAATAATATGAATAATTTTCCAAACTTAAAAAAAAATTTTTGAAAAGCAGAAGTGTACCGTAGTAGTGGAAATATATTGCTCTTAGATTAAAAAAGTGTACAATGAATTTGAAAGACGATTTAAAGATATTCAAAAATTAGAGCCAATTATTACATTTGTCTTTTCCTTTCTCCAAAAACCCAACATTGAAAATTTTTCTACACAAATAAGCAATTTGTTTGACATGGATTTTTTAAAATTTCAATCTGAAACTATACAAATTAAATCAGATATATTCCTCAAAGCTCGAGGATCTGAAACCAATTTTTGGAATTTACTGAGTGAAGAAAAATATCCGTGTGTTGCGGAATGTAGCTTTGCAGTTACATACTTATTTTGGATCAACATATTTGTGCGAAACAACATTTTCTCACAAGAAAGTGATAAAAACAGAATACACTGTCTGATGACCATTTGGAGCAGTGTCTTTGATTAGCAGTCAGCAACTATTCGCCAGATTATGATCAGTTGGTCAATGAAATACAATATCACACTTCAACAATGCCTAGGTCAACAAAATAATATGTTAATTAGATTTTATAAATTATTATTTACTATTGTATTATTTTTATCAGTATTTAAATTACTAATTAGTAATTAGTTAATAATACTTATTGTATGTTTATATACACTTTATGCAAGTATGATTCTTAATAATTATAGTTATTCAATAATAAAAAAAATATCTATGGAAGTCGATCCTCAAAGGTGAAGTATATTTTTAGTAGATTGTGACCTAAAATAGTTTGGTCACCCCTGTCTGATACAATGGAAATTATCTGCTTTACATAAATATTAAATATTATATTTAATTAATAATTAAACTACTAAACCATAATATGGAAAATTTTTACATAATCTATCAATGTAATTTAATTAAAAATATCCACCTTAAATTGAAAAAAAGAAGGAAATAATGCCAAAATTAGATTAAAAACCTCAATAATGTATAATTTTACTTTTAAATCATTGTTTTCATTAAATAGTTTAATGTTTTAATTTTGTCTTATTTATTTTAAATTTGTTTCACTCTGTGTTGATGTAGTTTGTATCGCTTTGGTAATACTAAAACTAAAGTCTAATACCTTGATAATGTTCTTGATATGAAAAAATTTTACTATCATTATAAGAGAAGTTAAAAAAGAAAAATAGAGAAATTGTTTGAGTATGAATGACTTTAAAAATGACTTGGTATAGGTATATTTATTATTACAATAGAAAGTAACAGAAGTATTTTTGTCTAAGGTAATATTTTAACACCTCCCTAACCTCATTCACTTTCACGTTATACTTAACTAAAATACACATCTTAGCTAACAAATAAATGAAGGTAAATTTTTATTAAATGTTATGTTTTAAACATTAGTAAATATTGTATATAAATGTTTTTTTTTTTTTTTTTTTAGATTGCAGATCAATTTGCAGTAATAGGAAAATCAAAAAATCTCAGAAATTGTGTAGTTACTGGTGGAATGGAAATGATAGTTCAAGCTCGTGAGTTAGCTAATAAACCTCATATTGTTGTATCAACACCTGGAAGGTAGCTTTGACATTTTTTGTATATCATAGTTTAATTCATTTGTTTTTGTTATTTAAATTATATTTTATATAGATTAGCTGATCATTTAGAGAGTTGTGATACATTTTCATTGAAACGAATTAAATTTTTAGTATTAGACGAAGCAGATAGACTATTAGGTGGTAAATTTGATCAACAAATTTCAACTATTTTCAATGCACTTCCAAAAAATAGACAGACACTGTTATTTAGTGCAACTATGACGGATACTCTTGAAAAAGTTAAAAAAATAACAAAAAAAAATGTAAGTTTAAAATAATATTTCTATAAAATTAAAATTAAAAATTATAATTAGTTAATTTTACATTTTAAAAATAGTATAAATCACCAATCTAACAAAAAAAATTTGAATATATATCTATTCAATCTAATTAATTATAAGTTATTATGTTGTTTCTATTCCTTCGTGTAAAATTACTGATTTAACTACATAGTTTTACTGCCTATTCTGACAAATACTATAACTAATTATCTACTAAACACCTTTTATTACTTTTTTCTTTAAAAGATAATTTCAGTATAATATTATAAGATAAACATAGTTTTTTTAGCTTCGATGCGAATATGAGAAGGTATTAATTTTACCATGTGTTGTTGTTTTTTTTTTTTTTTTTTTTTTTTTTTTTTTTTTTTTTTTTTTTTTT